TTGTCTCTGCTTATGTTTCTATTCTTCTGTTTATTTTTTTTAATATATTGATTTCAGAGAGAAAGGGAGAGGGAGAGAGAGATACAAACATCAGTGATGAGAGAGACGCATCGTTTGGTTGCCTCCTGCATGCACCCCGACTAGGGCTGGGGATCAAGCCTGCAACTTAGGTATGTACCCTAGACTGTAATCGAACCCTGGACCTTTAAGTCCTCAGGCCGACGCTCTATCCACTGAGCAAAACCAGCCAGGGCTCTTCTACTGTTTTTAAGACAGTACAGAAACTATATGAAGAATAGACTTCGTTTTGTTGATATATATAATGCTGATATCAATTGGCCAAAGAATCTGCAAGTTCAGTTTATTGAGAAACATCTGTGGGCTTACTGTGTGTGAATATGATTAAAACAATCAAATTTATTCTGATAAAGAAGGTTTTAATATAATGAGATCATTTTTCTGAAGCATTCTAGCAAAGTAAATCTTACAGTTAGTGAACTGACACTGAGGACCAAGCAAGCCACCTCATTTCATTTTCTTTTTTTTTTTTTAATATATTTTATTCATTTATTACAGAGAGGAAAGGAGAGAGATAGAGATAGAGAGTTAGAAACATCGATGAGAGAGAAACATCGATCAGCTGCCTCCCGCACATCCCCCACTGGGGAAGTGAGCGCAACCCAGGTACATGCCCTTGACCGGAATCGAACCGGGGACCTTTCAGTCCGCAGGCCGACGCTCTATCCACTGAGCCAAACCGGTTTCGGCAACCTCATTTCATTTTCACTGTAACTTCCTCTATAAAGTAGTTAATTCCATTAAATGAAAATCTTTGTGTAAAAATTGAGAAAGTTATGACTGGTTTCTTTAGAAAGCGTGATTCTGGCTTTCAGGGTATTAAACCATTTATGTAAAAATGCTATTTAGCACAATAGTGGTTTTATGTGAAATTACTGTAATTGAAGGGAAATTGGTCTAAGTAGTGGGGTGTGTTCCCTGAACATTGTCAAAAAAAATGTTCGCAAAAGGCACACACTGCTTTGCATAGTTTCATAATGTCCAAGGACATTAGTCATTTGGATTGATTTACCGGGACATTATTCAGCCTTCTCCCCCTTTGAATGTAAATTAGGTAAAGCATGGAGTATGTTGAAAGAATGGGGACCTTTCTGGTTGATCTCATTCTCCAGGAAGGAACCAGCCTATAAAATAGCACAGTTGAAATCTTCAATTTGGAAAATTGGTGGAATGAGATAAGAGAATGATTACTTGCGGGTTACTACTACTATATAAGGTATTTAAGATAAAGGCAAACTGTTGTTTTCAGGGGATAGTATGAAAGGTATTTTTTATTTTATCACTAGTAGCTCAGCGGCGATATCCTAGGCCACCCGCTGCTTCTGCTTCCGGTTCTGCGCTTCCGGTTCCGCTTGCGCAGGAGCCGGCGGGAACAGCAGCGTGCCGCGGAGAGCCATGTGGCTTCCACGGGAGGCAGGAGCGGAGGCAGAAGCGGAGGCAGAAGCGAGTCTTCAGGAGCCAGAAGGGAGCCACGCTGCTGCCGCGGTAGGCGGACCCACGTCTCCTCTCCTGGCCTGCACTCGGCCACGGAGGCTGCAGGCCAGCCCCCTGCCCTTGTCTGTGTCCGCTCGTCTTTGTCCGCTCGGGCTCCGGGGCCTGGCCCTCCTTTCTCTGTCTCCGTCTCCCGCTGAGGGCCTCACATGCTCAATCTCTCCCTGTTGGGTCTTAACCTGTTACGATATCCTATAATTTGCGTATTTCCTGTTTTTATAGATATAGATATAAAGATATTGTACATTGGCCCTGACCGGTTTGGCTCAGTGGCTTGAGCATAGGCCTGCGGGAAGGGTCCCGGTTTCGATTCCGGTTCTCTCTCTCTCTCTCTCTCTCTCTCTCTCTCTCCCTCTGTGAAATCAAATAAAATATATTTTTAAAAAAATAATAAAATATATTTTGGGGGCAAAAAGATACTGTACATTTCACATTTTTAGTTTTTATGTGTACAGCCAATTTTGAAATGCAGTTTTAATAATTTGGACTTAATACTGATTGCTAGTGTTAATAAATAGAACCAGGTTTTTTCGGTTTGTTTTTTTAAAAATATATTTTATTGATTTTTTTTTTTACAGAGAGGAAAGGAGAGAGACAAAGAGTTAGAAACATCGATGAGAGAGAAACATCTATCACCTGCCTCCTGCACATCCCCCACTGGGGATGTGCCCGCAACCCAGGCGCATGCCCTTGCCCAGAATCAAACCCGGGACCCTTCAGTCCGCAGGCTGACCCTCTATCCACTGAGCCAAACCAGCCTCGGCTAGAACCAGTTTTTATACCACAACTTAATTACCCTGGATTCTTAAATTTTGCTAAGTGCCTCTGTAGTTAGGAAAATGGGTTTGTGTAATTTTTCAAGGTTAATTTGGTGTGCTATTTTTGATCCTTTGGGTATGTGAAACTTACCTTTCACTTACATTCATACATGAAATATAATTTGGGTAGGAAAAAAAATATCAGATTGCAACCTTTTCTTTTTTTTCTACAAGAATATTTTGTTCTGCCCTGGCCAGGTAGTCCAGTTGGTTAGAGAGTTGTCCAGTACGATAGTTGTGGGTTTGGTCCCTCCCTGGTCAGGGCACATATAAGAATCAACCAATGAATCCTATATAATAAAAGCTTAATATGCTAAGTGTCCAGTCATTCGGTCATCTGTTCAGCCAGTCAAAGCATAATATGATAATGCTATGCTAAGGCTTCTCAACCGCTCACTATGATGTGCACTGACCACGAGGGGGCAGACGCTCTGACCAGTAGGTTAGCTTGCTGCTGGGGTCTGGCCTATCGGGACTGAGCAAAGACCGGCTAGACATACCCTGAAGCCCTCCCGCTGCCCCTCCCCGGCCCCAATTGTTCCCTGGTGGGGTCCCTTGGCCTGGCATGCAACCTCTCACAATCCGGGCCCCCAAAGGGGTTGTCAGAGAGCCGGTTTCGGCCCGATCCTGCAGGCCAGGCCAAGGGACCCCACTGGTGCACGAATTCATGCCGCGGACCTCTAGTACATAAATAAGTGGAACAATAAATTGATGTTTCTCTCTCTCCATCTCTTTCTTAAAGCTTGATGTTTCTCTCTCTCCATCTCTTCCTTAGAGCAATCAATCCTTTTTTTTGTTAACTATAAAAAATACATATTCTGACTCGACCAGCATGGCTCAGTGGTTGAGCATCAACCTGTGAACTAGGAGGTCACGGTTCAATTCCTGGTAAAGGAACATGCCCTGGTTTCAGGCTCATTCCTCTGTAGGGGGTGTGCAGGAGGCAGCCAGTTGATGATTCTTTCTCATCATTGATGTTTCTATGTCTGTCTCTATCTCCCTTCTTCTCTGAAATAAATAAAAATATATTTAAAATTTTTGAGGTAAACATACAAAAGTGTAGATGTTCTTCCTGGATATTGAATTTAACCAAAATATGAAATGTAACATGTATGTTTTCTGAAATAATACCAAATTTCATCTTTAGCCTGAAGTTTGCTATTATCATAACAAGTTTTATTTCTATACTGTTTACAGCCTGTATCCCAACCAGCTGCAGCTGAACAACAAGCAGTGCTTCTAAAACCAGATTTAGTTAGAAGGTGAGTATCTTCAAATTTATTACCATGGAAATGATAAGGGTATGTTGAAGTATTTTCATTCATTAGGGGCCTGTTGTATCATGACTGAAGATTTTGTGTTCTTGAATTTATGTGTATGTTCAATAAAAATAGTAGGTATAGTTTTTTACTTTTTTATTTTAATGAAGCTCATATATATTGTGAAATTATTGACCATTTTCTTGTTCTCATTATAACATTTCTGTTTCTGAGAAAAGCTTAGAAGAATTAATAAAGAAAATAATATAATTTAGAGTAAATTTTCTAAAGAAATAAATTATAATGATATATATATAATTGTGCTATTATTTGGTAGTTGTAAATTAATGTTTTACTTCGTGTTATTCAGATTGGCTAATTCCTATTACTCTTTTTTCAAGTTCATTGATTCTTTCCTTTGTCCTATTCATTCTGCTATTATGCCCATTCCAATGCATTGTTTTTTTGTCATAGTACTTATAGTTCTATAATTTTCATTTGGTTCTTTTTTAATATCTTCTATTTTTAATGAGATTTTTCAATTTTTTAAATGTGCTTCAAGAGTATTTGTAATTACTTATTGAATCGTTTTGATGATGGCTGCTTTAAAATCCTTGTCAGTTACTTCCAATTTCTTATTCATTCTGGTGTTGGTATCTGTTGACTGTCTTTCCACATTCAAAGTGTGATTTTTCCAGGTTTTTGGTATGACAGGGAATTTTCATTTGTCTCCTGGACCTTTTGGATATTTTGTCAGGGACTCTGGACCCTACTTAAATATTGTAGTTGATCAGGCAGTCACCCTGTTCTGAAGACCACTTAGTTTTCACAGTGCTTGGAGAGTGATTCTGGTCTCCTTGGATCACCTGCCATTCCTGGCCCCACCTCTGGGTGGAAGAATTGGGAGTACTCTCTAGGCCTGCTGTCCCAGGCCAGATCTCTAGGTCACATGCTACTGGTGGTTTGGCCACAAGTGTCATCAGGGGGAGGAAAGGGCTTACCTGAACCACTTTCTGCTGCCGGGTTGGGGGTCAGGAGACCACTGGACTTGGGCTGCCTTTGCCTTTAGGCTTTGAGTTAAGAAACACTAAACGTGGATGGCCTTGTGTCACTGGGTAGGTAGATAGCAAGTTGTAGTCTTTTTCCTTAAATTCTGGGAAGGCCCACAGGAAGTCCTGTGATTGTCTACTGTATTATTTCCAAATTTTTTAGTTGTACTTTGAGGGGAGATGCAGGGAGAATTAAGTTTCTGTCCTCTTGTCCCAAAACATATACTAGTTTTTTAAAGTAACTCTGCAGCCCTGGCTAGTGTGATTCAGTGGTTGGAGCATCAACCTGCACACGGTTCTCCGGTTCGTTTCCTGGTCAAGGGCACTTACCTGGGTTGCAGGTTCCATCCCTGGCCCCAACAAATCAATGTATGTCTCTCACATGGATATCTCTCTCTTTCTCTCCCTCTCCTCCTCATCCCCTCTCCCTCTCTCTCTCTTCTCCCCCCATCCCTACCTTCCACTCTCTAAAAACCAATAGAAACGAATATCCTGGGATAACCCATCTGGCTTGGCTCAGTGGTTGAGCATCAACCTATGAACTAGGAGGTCACGGTTCAATTCCTGGTCAGGGCATATGCCCGGGTTGCAGACTCAATCCCCAGTAGGGGACATGTAGGAGGCAGCCAATCAATGATTCTCTCTCATGATTGATATTTCCATCTCTCTCTCCCTCTCAGGAATCAAAAATATATTTTTTTAAAACTTACCCATTTAAAGTATACAGTTCAATTGCTTTTAGTACATTCACAGGATTGTAAAGTCATAACTTTTTAAAAGATATTGTACTACTTATTTATTTTCCATAACTCATTATTTATGATTTTAAATTGGGAGGTTTTCTTAGAATTTTAATATCAGGATGAAATGATTCTAGCCATGAAGAAAGTTTATTTGGTAAGTCTGATTGGAGTTAAATATTGGGTTTTGAGAATCACAGAAGAATGTCTATTCTGAGAAATTGAATAGAAGTTGCTTCTATATTTTTAATTACTAGTTTGCAGCATGATATGGCAGCCATGAAGGAAAACAACAACACCCCTGATAACCCAAGTGGAAATGGCAAACAGGATCGGATCAAACAGAGAAGAGTGTCCTGTCCTCGACCAGAGAAGGGGACCAAGTTCCAGCTTACTGTCCTGCAGGTCAGTGTGTGAACATGGATGGGCTAAGTGCACATAGAGGTCTGGGGAGTCAGGGAGGGGCAATGTTACTGTGCAAGTAGGGTATTGTGAGACTCTAACTTTTCCTTCATTAAAAGTTTTTAATGATAAGAGTATTATGTATTAATTGTTAAACATAGGAAATATAAGGAAAATAAAAATCACTTGTACTGCCCTAGCTGGTTTGGCTCAGTGGCTAGAGCATCGGCCTGTGGAGTGAAGAGTCCCGGATTCGATTCCAGTTGGGGGCTCAATTCCCAGCGTGGGGCGTGCAGGAGACAGCCGATCAATGATTCTCTCTCATCATGGATGTTTCTATCTCTCTCTCCCTCTCCCTTCCTCTCTGAAATCAATAATAATATGTTTTTTAAAAATCCCTTGTACTCTCAGATATAATACCTGTAATGTTTTAGTTTGTTTCATCTGTTTTATTCTGTATGTATGTATCATCTTTTACATTAAAATTGTAATAGTACCAGTAATAGTGAAAATGTATTTAACTGTTCTGTGGTAGACACCCTTAATGTTATATATTTGTTTTATCATTTAATCCTTTGATAATCTTGTATGATATGTGGTAGTATACTTATCTTTACAAATGAGAACTAGAGAGCTATAGTAATTTGCCCAAGGTCATTCGACTAGCAAGCCATAGTCAGATCTGAAGCCAGATCAAACTGTAAACCCCATACCTCTAATCAATATAGTACAAGTTTTGGATGGAAGCTAAACCTTATATATAATTTTATATCCTGCCTTTTAAAAAATGTAGTATATTATATATACTTTACTGTGTCATTAAATACATTTTAATTTTTTTCAGAACCAATTGTGTCTGTACCCCAAACTTTAAGAGTTTTAAATGTATTTTTATTGATTTCAGGGAGGAAGGGAGAGGGACAGAAAGTAGAAACATCAATGATGAGAGAGAATCATTGATCGGCTCCCTCCTGCACACCACCTACTGGGGATCGAGTCTGCAACTCAGGCATGTGCCCTGACCTGGAATGGAACCTTGACCTCCTGTTCATGGGTTGACATTCAACCACTGAGTCACAACGGGCCAGACTAGAAATAGCCTTAATAACCCATAGTCCAGCCCAGCCAGTGTGGCTCAGTAGTTGAGCATCAACCTATGAACCAGGAATTCCAGGTTCAATTCTGGCCAAGGGCACATTCCTGGGTTGTGGGCTCGATCCTCAGTAGGGTCCATGCAGGAGGCAGCCGATCAATGATTCTCTCTCACCATTGATGTTTCTCTTTCTCTCTCCCTTCCTCTCTTAAACCAATAAAGAAATATATTTCATAAAAATAAAAATAAAATAATAAAATGGCTGCCTTGGATAGTTCCTTGTATAGAGATAAAATAATTTTAATCATGCATTCTGTTTTTTTTTCATTTAGGTTGTTTCTTTCTGTTTGTCTCTCTCCATCTCTGTCTTTGCAGCAAACACCCTTGAACCACAAACCTTTGTACATATCCCTGATTTTTTTTCCTTGTGTTAGATTCCTAGAAGTAGAATTAGTGGGTCAAACATTATGAAGATTACATGTTGCTAGATCACTGTTTTAGCAACATGTTGGACCAGTTTACATTTTCATTAGCAGTGCCAACATTGCTCAGTGATGAACATCGATCTATGAACCAGGAAGTCATGGTTCTATTCCTGGTCAGGGCACATGCCCGGGTTGCAGGTTCGATCTCCAGGAAGATGTGTGCAGGAGGCAGCCAATCAATGATTCTCTCTCATCATTGATATTTCTATCTCTCTCTCCCTCTCTCTTCCTCTCTGAAATCAATGAAAAAATATTTTTTTAAAGAGAATTTTGGAAATCAATGACCAAATTTAGGTCTTTGCATTGCAGATAGTGATACTGACTATTATAACTTGTTTTTGCCTTGTTATAAAAGTTCGGTTTCCACCTGGCCAGGGTGGGTCAGTGGTTGAGTGTCGACCCATGAACCAAGAGGTCACTGGTTCAATTCCCGATCAGGGCATGCCATAGTTGTGGGCTTGATCCTCTGTAGGGGGTGTACAGGAAACATCTCATCGATGTCCCTTCTCAAATTGATGTTTCTCTTCCTCTCTCAAAATCAATTTTAAAATCTTTTAAAATATATAATTATTTTTTGCCCTAGCCAGTTTGGTTCAATGGATACCTAGGTTCAATTGCCCTGACCTGGAATGGAACCTTGACCTCCTGTTCATGGGTTGACATTCAACCACTGAGGCACACCAGCCGGCCTCATTAATTTCTAATGACATATTTTAAATGGCTGCCAATCAATGAGTCTCTCTCACATCAGTGTTTCTCTCGGGTTAGTATTAGCAATATATATATATATAATTTTTTTTAAATGCCATTGGCATTTTGATGGAGATCACATTAAATCTGTATATTGCTCCGGGTAAGATAGTCATTTTAACTATGTTGATTCTTCCGACAATGATTGATTCTTAATCTGGTGGTGAAATGTTTAAACCCAGGTGTCAACCTCTGGAGACAACATGGTAGAGTGTCAGCTGGAGACACACAATAACAAGATGGTCACCTTCAAGTTTGATGTTGATGGTGATGCACCCGAGGATATTGCAGACTATATGGTAAGTACAATAAAACCAAATGATTCTCCTTTCAGTGTTCTTTTTCCCCTGTATCTCTTCCCCCATTTATTCAGAGTCATCTTTTTCTTAGGATACTGTTTTTAAAATTTGTGCAGATCTAAATTGGTTATGATTAAGAGGAAACCAGTGCACCTCCTCTGGTTTCAGTTTATTTATCTGCAAAATATGAAGGTGTTTCATTAAGAGATGTTTTAGGTCAGTGGTTCTTTATCCCAGGCTGCATGTTAAAATGACCTGAAGAGGTTTTTTAAAAAACAATTCCCTAGGTCCTTAATTAAATCAGAGTCTTTGGAGATGAGGCCTAAGCATCAATCCTCCTATTTAATAAAACCCTACTATGCAAATTGACAAATGACTGGTCGCTATGATGCACACTGACCACTAGGGGGCAGACGCTCAACACAGGAGCTGCCCCCTGTTGGTAAGTGCGCTCCCACAGGCTCCCGCCGTATTGCTCAGCCAGAAGCCAGGCTCACAGCTCGCGAGCGCAGTGGTGGTGGCAGGAGCCTCTCCTGCCTCCGCAGCAGTGCTAAGGACCTCTCAAGGCATGTCCACCTGCCAGGGAGCGGGCCTAACCCAGCAGACGGACATCCCCCAAGGGGTCCTAGACTGCGAGAGGGCACAGGCCAGGCTGAGGGCCTCCTCCCCACCCCCAGTGCATGAATGTCCTGCACCGGGCCTCTAGTAGTTTATAAAGTTCACCAGGATTTGCTCTCCTTCCCAGGAGCATGCCTATGAACACAACACCTGCCCACCCCAGCTTCTTTCCCCACAGGCATGCATCTCCTGAACTTTAAGGGGCCCCACAAGGTTTGCAACCAGGGCAGCAATGGGCAGTGGCAGTTAATCCCAGGCAAACACCCTGAGCCTGTCCCCAAGTTCGTCTTTTCTCTAACTTCTTAGTGAGCCTAAGTAACCCAGTCTAGGCTCATTTCCCCAGCCCTTCCTTGTTCCACTGTCCCCAGCTTAAATAAATAAATAAAAGTTCACCAGTTACTTTTGATGTGTTAGCTACTGCTATAACATGTTATATTTCAGTGTTTAAGTAATATTCATTATGTCATTTAGTTTTCATATTTTTCTTGAATTGTTAGGCTTAAGTTAGTATTTTCCCGTTTATTTGTTTGTTTATTATTTTTTAAAAGAATAGTTTATTGATTATTAAAGAGAGAGGAAGGGAGAAGAGAGAAATAGGGCATAACATTAATCAGCTGCCTCCTGTACGCAACCCAGACATGTGCCCTGACCAGGAATCAAACCAGAAACCTCTCAGTGCTTGCAATGACACTCCACTGTGTCACACTGTCCAGGGCATATTTTTCCATTTTTTAAAAATGGAGATGAGCCCAGCTGGTTGTGGCTCAATGGAGCAGGAGGCCAGGGTTCAATTCTGGTCAAGGCACATGCACAGTTGCAGGCTCGATCCCCAGAAGGGGATGTACAGGAGGCATGATCAATGATTCTCTCTTATTATTGATGTTTCTATCTCTCTCTCCCTCTCCGTTCCTTTCTGAAATCAATAAAATTACATTTTAAAAAAATAGAAATAAAAACGTATTTTTAAAAATGGGAATGGGCTAGGGTGGCAGGAAGAGTACACAATGCTTTTGTTTTTGCCAGTTTTCTTTAGAGATATATTCCTGGCCATTGCCTCAGTTATGTCCTTCAAATGACAATCAATTTATAGAATGCCAGATCGTTTTTCAAATGTTGGCTTCTTCTCTGGTGGGTAATGCCAACCTGACAAATGGTAGTGGTCTCAAAATAAAACTAATAATTTAATATCTGGTCTTTGTTAATTCTGTTGTGGCATTTGGATGTAAATAATTTTAATTTAGTTTTCTTTAGGGTAGTAACCATTGATAGACATAATTATAATTTTGAAGACACTGAATTCATTTTCATAAATAGACTTACTTTTACTTTTGGACAGGTTGAAGATAACTTTGTGCTGGATAGTGAGAAGGAAAAATTTGTAGAAGAATTGAGGGCTATTGTAGGTCAAGCCCAGGAGATTCTACATGTCCACTGTGCTGCAGAAAGAGCCACTGGAGTTGACTCTGTCGCTGTAGAACCCAACAGTGGCCAAGTAAGAACAATTATTTAGCAAATAGGTCTTCTGGGATATGTATGAGGAACTTCTTTATTTACCTATTCATTTTTAATTCAGACAGGGTCATCTGAACAAGCACAGATAAATTCTGCATCCACTCAAACCAGCAGTAAGTATATTTAATAAAATTTACCATTTGGCATTTGAAACGACATTTGGAGACTTCAGTTTACACATCTTCATTGAGAAAGATGTTAGCCAGTAAAGGAATTAGATAAGTTGTTAATGTAGGATTTTCCACACTGTGAAAGAATTTTATAGCCCAGAAGAAAATAGAATAAGAAGTAAAACCATTCTCCAAATTTCCTTCAATTGTTGGTTGTTTACCTGATTAATTTATTTCTGAGCTGCTGTATGGTATGCTACCAGAAAAGCAGTCATGGTAGTGATGATTTTTAACGGCTTTATTATTTGAACTTGACTGCCAAGTCCCACCCCATCCCTAATTTGAGATGTACAGAAACGTTCTTAACTAAAATCATTATGTTCAAAGTTTGCCTTGTGTTTTAATAGTCACTGATACCATGATTTCATTCCTCTAGTGACAAGCTTCTCCTTGCTCTGATCACTAAGTTTTTGTAAATCAGATACCAGATAAACTTCCAGGGACTAAAAAGGGAGTCCTCTGTTTTCTCTGACGACTTTATCTCTCCATTCTTCTCAGCTCTGGTCATGGGTATATTTAGAGTATCTGGGAGGGGGAGAAAATCCATAGACAAATGAGGACCTCTGAAGGAATTATAACGACACGAAGAAGCAACAGGTGGTGTGCAAGTCATGGAACCAGATACCATTACCCTGAAATTCAATTTGTGTTGGAATGCCAGGGTCCTTCTCTATCTACTTTTTCTCATTAGCAGGAGTCTGAACAGATTTCTGGCTGGCAAACTAGGGTAACGTTTAATAGAGAATTACTTATTTCAGTAAGTTTACAAAGGCTTATTTTACTTATTTTTTTTAAGTTGTCATACAGTAAAATTGACTTTTTTCTTTTGGTGTACAGTCCTGGAAGCTGTACTATTCAGTGTAGATTTCTGTAAGCACCATAATCAGGATACCGAACAGGAAATGTAGGCCTTAATGGTAAAAGTGCTTTCTTCCTCCCCTAACCCCCTCCCAAAAAAAGTGCCTGGCTTCTAACTGCTATTGATATGTTTCTTTCAGAAGAATCTAAAATCTTTCTCTAAAGTCATCTTATGCTTAATTCTTTTTAAAACATTTTTTAAGTTTTTATTGATTTGAGAGAGAGAGGAAGGGAGAGGGAGATTGAACTATAAATGATAGAGAAACATCGATCAGCTGCATCCTGCTCACCCACTACTGGGGATTGAGCTTTCAACCCGGGCATGTGCCCTGACCGGGAAATGACCTCTTGGTGCATGGGACGAAGCTCAACCAACTGAGCCACACCGGCTGTGCTATTCTTTTTTTGTTGTTGTTAATCCTCACCCGAGAATATTTTTCCATTGCTTTTGAGAGAGTGGATGGGTGGGAGGAGAGACAAAGAGAACATCAATGTGAAAGAGACAAATTGGTTGCCTCCAGCACACACCCCCACCAGGACAGGGGATCTAGCCTGCAACTGCGGTATGTGCCTTTGACTGGAATCAAACCCGGGACCCTTCAGTCTGAGGGCCCATGGTTCAACCAATGTGCCAAACCAGCTGGGGCAGGGCCGGGCTATTCTTAATTCTTTAGAGTATTTTTCAGGATTGGGGAGGAGGTCTGGTCTCATAAATTGCACGCATCCTAGTGTTGTTGGAAATGGATGTACAAGAAAAATTGGTGTTTTAACCCGGTTTCCTTAGTCAATAAGGTAAACATGCTGACAGTTGCTTAGCATATTAAATTTTCCACAGATGAATCTGCTCCTCAGTCATCCCCAGTTGGTCGGTGGCGATTCTGTATCAATCAAACGATAAGAAACCGTGAGGCTCAATCTCCTCCTTCTCTTCAACAGTCCATATCTACAGTGCCTGGGCTATATCCACTTTCTAGTAAGCATTCATTCACTGCCAACTTTATCCAGACTTGGAGGATAGGAGTGTGAAATATGGACCGTATCTCTTTTTTTAAGGTTTTTTTATTTTCTTTTTAGAGAGAGAGGGAGAGGGGTTTCAGAGAGGAAGGAAGAGGGGAAAGAGATAGAAACATCAATGATGAGAGAGAATCATTGATTGGCTTCCTCCTGCATTGCCCCCTACTGGGGATCAAGCCTGCAACCCAGGCATGTACCCTGGCCAGTAATCAAACCTGCAACCTTTCGGTGCACAGAATGACGTCCAATGAACTGAGCCACACTGGCCAGGGCTGGACCATATTTTTAACTTGTTATCATGGCTATTTTGTGCTTATGAGAATTTTCATAATCATTTTGGAAGATGTTAATACCAGGGTGTAACCTAAGCCATTTTTTATTTAATATTTATGGGGGGGGGGAGGTTTTCTTTTCCTTCACAGGTAGAATTGTGTATTTCGAGTCTTTTTTACAAAAGTACTTTCACACAAGTTCTCATTTGCCCCTTGATCTACCTGTCCCCTCTGAGTTTGGGTAGTAGTTCATGCTTTGTGCTTACCAATACATGCTTATCCATTCTTTGTTATTGTTCCAGGTCCAAGAAAAACAAATAATAAGGAAATGTCACAGGACACACTGCTCACTCTAGAAAGTAACCCATGCCAGCATGCACTTTTCACCTCCCAGTCAGAACACAAGGATGTGGTCGATGGGAAGATTTCTGAATGTGCCAGTGTAGAAACTAAGCAGTCAGCTGTACTTTATCAAGTGGAAGATGACAGGCAGAGAATGGCAGCAGTTGTTAGTAGTTCCGCTTACACTGCTACTTCAGTTCGTACAGTTCCAGTTAAGTGTGAGGGACCCACCAGCCAAGCAGGAACATTTCTACCTGTGCTTCCCTGTCACCAAGCTGCCACTCAGGCTAATGTAGTTACGGCACCTTCTGGCGAGTCAACTCAGATTGCTGGTAACTCTCTTAAAACTTCAGCATTTATTTCTGATCAGAGGCCTCAATCCTTATCAGTGCAGCAGCCAACTGTGGATGCAGAGTTTATTTCCCAAGAAGGAGAGAAAACCACAGTGAACAGTGAAGCAAGTTCTCCTAAGAAGGTCATCCCCACTCAGACCCCCGGCCTTGAACCGTCTACCCTCCTACCTACTACTGTCCTGGAATCAGATGGGGAAAGACCTCCAAAAATGGAGTTTGCAGATAACCGAATTAAAACTCTAGATGAAAAACTAAGAAATTTGCTCTATCAGGAGCATAGCATGACTAGCATCTACCCTGACAGCCAGAAGGACACCCAAAGCATAGATTCTCCATTTTCTTCCTGTGCTGAAGATACAGTCATAGCCATCAGTCACTGTGGAATTCAAGACAGTCCTGCACAGTCCCCCAGTTTTCAGCAGACAGGCTCTAAGGTTCTGTCCAATGTGGCTGCCAGTCAGCCTGCTAACATGTCAGTGTTCAAAAGGGACCTGAATGTGATTACTTCTGTACCCAGCGAATTATGTTTACATGTAAGTATGATTCTTTCTAAATAATTCCTTATCCCTGTGCTTTTAAAAAATGCATTCTTTAAAAATATATGTTTTTATTGATTTCTGAGAGGAAGGGGGTGGGAGAGAGAGATAGGAACTTCAGTGATGAGAGAGAATCATTGATCAGCTGCCTCCTGCTTAGCTCCTACTGAGAACCAATCGAACCGTGATTTCCTGGTTCATAAGTCAGTGCTCAACCACTGAACTACACCAGCCAGACAAAACATTCTTTGCTAAAGTTCTATCCTTCAGAATGTAATTAATTGTCTGTGTCACAAGATTCCGAGGGCACAGGTATTACAGAAGACCATCTTACCTGCAGGTGTCCAGAGCTTCTCAACAGATGGCAGGCCTATTTATGGTAAGAGCGCCCTCTGGTGAATTAGTTAGGAACTTGCAAGCCAAATCTGTTTTGAATTAATAACAAGAACAGGACTAATTTATTGATTTTGTGGGTAGGAAGAACTTACTTTTAGATTTACAGTTAAAAATGTTTGTTGTTAGTTTCCTTTTCAATAATTTTATGGTATTAATGTAATCTTGTTTTGTGGGTTTTAATTTATTTGAATTTTTTCTTTATGAGGAAAGTAAAAATCATCCACAATCTCATGACTTTCTTTTTTAAGTTACATAACGTAGCAATTTAATTTCCCTTTTCTGTCTCTTTAAATCATGGAAGTAATAATTATGTGGTGTTTATCTACTATTTGGTACTTAACCCTTCTTTTTAAAAAAAATCATTATTGTTGAAAATATTACATATGTGCCCCCCCCCCATTGACTCCTTCCCACCCACCACCCACCCCACTGCTCCAGGCCTTCACCACCCTATTGTCTGTATCCATGGAAAAGTCCTTTGGGTACTTAACCCTTCTTGACTTGAGCTTAAACAGATCTATTTACATAACTGCAATTTTCATTCACAAAAATAGGATTGTGCTATATACATATTGATCTGCAACTTTATTTTTTCAATTTGGTTGTACTTTGTCTACAGTTTGATTTAAAGAATTGGAAATCAATAAACAGCATTTATATTATAAATGTTATCTAATGATCATATAATGTAATTAGAACTATAAAAAATGAAATATAATTCTCTGTCATTTACACTTTGTTATTTGAAGGAGACTTCTTCCAAGTCAGGGGTCCTCAAACTTTTTAAACAGGGGCCCAGTTCACTGTCCCTCAGACCGTTGGAGGGCCGGACTGTGTTTAAAAAAAACTATGAACGAATTCTTATGCACACTGCACATATCTTATTTTGAAGTAAAAAAAAACAAAACAGGAACAAATACAGTATTTGTATTTGCATGTGGCCCGCGGGCCATAGTTTGAGGACCCCTGTTCCAAGTGTTACTATCAAATGGATTCTTTTGCTTCCTTTAAGTGTCCATTGCTGCATCTTGATCAAACTTACCTGTCATTGATTCTGGTGTCTTAAAATTCCTCCCTCCTGAAATGTTTCTATGACTGATATTTTAAAATATGTTGCATGAGGTGTGTGTGTGTGTGTGTGTGTGTGTGTGTGTGTGTGTGATGGGTGCACAGTAAATTCAGTTTTTAAAAACCCACTAAACTGTATAGTTTAAATGGCTGAACTTTAGAATATCTGAAACACATTTTTCAAAGAAAACAATACCATGTTGGAATAGTAATTTTTTAATCTCCAAATATGTCTTTATTTTACTTCACACTTGATTAATTATATATGGTAGGATCATTTTGAGTTAATTTTTTGTATATTGTATTAGAGAAGGGTCCAGCTTCAATATTTTGTATGTGGACATCCAGTTCCAGCACCACTTCTCATTCTTTGTTGTTATTACAAATGGAATTGTTTTCTTAATTTTCTTTTCAGATTTTTTTTATTGCTAGTGTATAGAAATACAACTGAGTTTTGGGGGGGTGTTGTATTCTACAAGTTTGCTGAGTTTATTAGCTCTAACAGCTTTGGGTGTATTATTTAGGATTTTCTATATAGTATATAAGATCATATCATCTGTAAATAGGGAGTTTTATTTCATTTCCTGTTTTTCTTATTAATTAACTTTTCATTTCATGCTTTCATCTCTGTCCCTTTGCTTTTTGTACTGGGATAATTTCTCAATTTTTAGGCTGTTTCCAATGTCCTATTCAGCTATTTTTTGTTTGTTTGTTTTTATTTATTTTATGGTTTGTTTTTTGTTTTGTTTTGTTTTTTGCTTAAAGCAGGGGTCCTCAAACAACGGCCCGTGGGCCACATGCAAATACAAATATTGTATTTGTTCCCGTTTTGTTTTTTTTACTTCAAAATAAGATATGTGCAGTATGCATAGGAATTTGTTCATGGTTTTTTTAAAAACTATACTCCGGCCCTCCAACGGTCTGAGGGACAGTGAACCTGCCCCCTGTTTAAAAAGTTTGAGGACCCCTGGTTTAAATCATAGGGTTCAATAGTTTAGTCCTGATTTTTTTTTTTTACTATATTTGTATTGATTTCTGGGGTTCAGGG